ATTCTTTTTACAAACACACATATATATATATATATATATATATATATATATATATATATATATGTGTGTTCTGATGTTTGTGTGTGTGTATGTAGAATTCTTATGTGTAAAGTATGTATTTAAAATAAAATTTCTTTATATATATATATATTTATATATATATATATATATATATATACATATAAGTTTGTCTATTAATTGTGTATGTATCTGAAGGGTTTCTTTATTCAATAAAATCACCAGAAATTGCCTAACAGACATGACTAGGTTCTCCTGCTTGTGTGGCATCGTGCAGAGTGTTGTTGCTAGACACAAGGTTCCCTGCAGTTACCGCCTGGACACAGGTTAAATTACCTAATTTATTCAGATATTTGTATTTAAAACTTACGTGTTGAGTTTTTTTTTTGTTATGAATGGATATAATAACGTCCCCATCATTACTGATCAACATTAAAAAACATATATATATATCAGAAAGTAGCTTTTTTTTCAGTTATTCATCACCTTCGGTACATCATTTGAGGACACACCATCCTCTGTACTGTCGTTAAATTGACACCCAAACACACTGAAATGTTCGTATTGGAGCTTCCACTGTGAATGACAGGCAGTCGACAAAATAAAAACGACGCGTATGCGCGAAATTAAAAATATAAAATGTTGACAATTTATCCAACGTATCATATATATATATATATATATATATATATATATATATATATATGTGTGTGTGTATGTATGAATTGGCGACAATTTACCATATATACATAATGGCGACAATTTACCCATCGCAACATGCATATAAGGTAGCGACAATTTACCCATCGCATTCAGTGTGTATATAAAATAGCGAAAATTTACCCATCGCATGCTGTATATATATTAAAGAAACACAAAACCGTTAATGAACCTTTAACAAACAAAAATTTTAAAATCTCTTACCCAGAAAAAAAGCCTCGATTAAAATATTGACAATTTGAAAAAAATATTATATTATATATATATATATATTATAAATTAATATATATATATTATAAATTAATTGATTTAAAATATGTTTTTTTTCGCTACACAGTTCCAACCATGTTTCAAAAATGGAAGCTAAAAGCTTCGAATTTAATTTTGTAATTAAATTAAAGACATTAGTTCCATTTCATCCTAAAGCGAATTTTGGAGTAACTTATTTTTAAAATTACTGGGTTTTAAATTCATAATTCATGTTTCCAAGGATACAGAGAAACCCATTCATCCAGACAAGGAGTGTTTGCGAGTTCATTATCGCTGTATTTTGTTCTATCAGTTATTACTTACGTTTTGGTAGGGGGTAGGGATGTATTTTACAATGAATTCTGACATCCGTTAAATGCATGTCGTCTGGATTTTTTTTAAAATTATTGTTAACGGCAAAAATTCTTACGGCATTTTTTTCTATTTGTATACTTAAAGATTTTTTTTGGGGGGTTTAGGTTAGAATACGTTTTATTTAACTACGATTTTAAAAATATTTTCACTTTTAATTTTTAATATACTATATTTCTTTTTAAAACAAGTAAATGTATTAGAATTACTTACAGTATGTAAAATTATATTCACATGAAGTATAAGTATGTATATTACCAGGTCACAATTTTTTAAAAATTTATATTTAAAATATTATTTAAGTAAAATTCATGACAATGACGGCAGAAAGTAGCTAATTAATTTCTCTGATTTAGTAAACTTTTATTTTTTTTTTTTTATAAACCAAGTAATATATAGTTTCTCATGTAAGTACAAAGGACACGAGTCATTCAATGGCTTACATCTTCTAGCTTTTCATATTAATTTCATTTTACTGTAGGTGTTTTATTGGATTCTTTTAAGTGCTTGTAGTACTTTGAGAGAGGTGTTTAGGTTAGATTACGTTTTATTTAACTATAATTTTAAAAGATGTTTAGGTTAGAATTCGTTTTATTGAACTACAATTTTAAATACAACTTTAAAATATTTTCACTGTTAATTTTAGTAGACTATATTTTTTTTTTTTTAAGTAAATGTATTAGAATTACTTACAGTAAGTAAAATTATTTTTCCATATCAAGTATAAGTATGTATATTACCAGGTTTTTTATTTTAAAAATTTTATATTTAAATATTATTTAAGTAAAATTTATATGACAGTTACGGCAAAATAGCTAATTTTTTTCGTTTAGCGAGAGTAAATTTAAAAAAATTAAGGTATCATCCATGATTTGAAAAAAACCTTCAATCTTTTTTCAAATGTTCCTGCCATATATATATAATTTTTGAATACAGTAAATTCGACCTTGAAAAACCAACGCTTTCTGTATGTTATCGGTTAAGGGCATATCAAATTAAAGGATTTTATATCCGTATAATATATTTATTCGAATCCTGTCGGAGGATGAATGTTTTCTGTAAAAATTCAGGCCGTTGAATGTTGTTTAATACCGTTTATTATAAACAGAGCATTTAAATATTTGTATCTATAAAAAGAATGTATAAGCATAAAAATGTCTTAATATATATATATATATATGTGTGTGTGTGTGTAAATTAAAAAAAATTGTAGGTCTGAAAAGGTGGTGACTCCGATTCCCATGTAATAAATTATAACCATGGAATATTAGTGTTTGAGCCTTTTATATTATATTTTTACTCTGTCCTGGACATTGAGTTCTACCTGAACCTGGATTCATCGTATCAAAAATTTATATATATATATATATATATATATATATATATATATATATATATATATATATTATATATATATATATATATATATATATATATATATATATATATATATATAATAAATATATATATATATTTAAATCTGGCCTTATGAAATATATAGCGGGTGATATATATATAAATCTAATATTATCAATATATATATATATATATATATATATATATTGACCATATAATATATATATATATATATATATATATATATATATATATATATATATATATATATATTTGAATTATTCACAAAAAACTAATGCAAAAAGGTTAATGATTTAAATGGCGAGACATCCATCATCGCAAACAATTCAAATAATATACAAAAACCTCCGTATCCGTTATGAATGAAATGATCCTTGTTTATATAAATTTCTGCCGTATTAGTTCTTATTTTACTACAAGCTTTCGTCTGTTCCTACAGACATCTTCAGGTATAGAATAGATGTTGTTCTTGTTTTTTCTCTTAGTAATAAGAGGACAACGAAAATATATGTATTGTTGTATCCGAAAATGCTATTGAAAATGAGTTATTGTTTTTGGAACGCGCAAAAGCAACGCTGAGTTTGATCTTAAATTTTTAAAGGTTGTGCGTTCATATAAAATATGGTGATGAACAAATTGGAGGTTTTTGTATATTATTTGAATTGTTTGTTAACGATGATGGATGTCTCGCCATTTAAATCATTGACCTTTTGCATTAGTTTTTTGTGAATAATTATATATATATATATATATATATATATATATATATATATATATATATATATGAAAGGAAGAGGTTATAGTAGTGCCAACGAGAGAAAAGTGTGTATATTAAAAAGAAGTGAGAAACCGCAAAAGTTTTTTGGTTGTAATGTGGATTTTTAAAAAAATATTATGCTTGATTTTCCATAATTTTGCTACACTCGTTTCTGGTCTCGCGACCTTCATCTGGCAAAGCCTGGTAATTTCAACATATTAAAAATAATTAATTTCTTCTCATGTTTTTCGCTGTTAAATATTCTCGATATGAGACATTCCCTTTTTGTGTGTTAGTGGCCCAAATGTCTTCCTAAATAGCAATGAAAAGTTCTGCGTGAAGAGTTATAAAACAATTAAGATTAGTCCGAGAAATGGTGAAGGAGTTATCGGCATTCTTATCTTTTAATAATCCTTATGAGATACATACATACGGGTCTTCTATAGCGTATCACTTGATAAATAATCTGACCTGTGCTATGGATTTTAGTGTGAGCTGATTTTTCTTTTTTATATATACAACACTTAAATTCCATCTGAAGATGTTGGAGACGCTATTCATCAGGTCCAGGCGACCCGTTCTTTGTAAACAAAGAGACTTTTTGCTTGGGCTTGCGGTGCTGTGTCTCTAGCATCTTTGGCGTTAGAACTTTTATTATTATATTTTTTCCTGTCCATTCATTCATGTCATCCGCGAGGGACTTTCTTCTCATAATTTGTTTCCCCGTTTACAGTTCTGACGAGAGGGGACGAAACCGATCGACTTATTTTCGTGTTTCTGTTTTAAAATTTATTATAGTAAAAAAATTTCTTGCCTTTAAAAATATATATATATATATATATATATATATATATATATATATATATATATATATATATATATATATATATATATATATATATTTTATATTCGAATTTATATGCATTGGCGGTAGATACACCCTACTACATTGTTGTATTGGTCGTTTCTTGGTAATAGAGTACTTGTGTTGGCCTTGCAGCGGCAACATCTATTTGTATGTGTTTGTGGAATATAGACGTGCCTTAATATTTGAGTATATTCTATTACGTGTGTTTATTCGTTGCAGTGTGCTTTTATATTCACAAATAGATTTTCCCCGTACAACTGCGAATTGTTTTCTCTTGTGTCTGTATGAGTTCCCCTTACATTCTGTTTGTGCTTGGAAATTAAAATTCCAACCAGTTCAGTTAGCCGATAGCCGGTTATAGAAATGACGAACAACTCTAGTGAGAGCGTTCATCTTTTACGCAGCCATTTTATCCGAATCAATGTTCTATGCTGACCGGGTGTATAGCCTGAGGCTGTGTCCGTTCTCTTTGCACACGACCAACTCCTCGATTATCTATTTGAATAAACTCGAGTTGCTCAAGAGATTTAAATATTTGAAGACAAGATCTTTGGTAAAATGGCTTTATTTTCTATCGGGATAGATTTTATAGGCTTTAACGACAAGGTTTATCATTGATACCCACAAAATCAAGCTTATGACCGCATCACTTTGAAACACCGGTTGCCGCTCGATAACCGAAGTTAAGCAACGTCGAGCCTGGTCAGCACCTAGATGGGTAACCGCATGGGAATACCAGGTGCTGTAAGCGTGGATATGCGGATAGTGTAATGGGCTTTACGGCCGCATCATATTGAAAAATCGCTTCCGGTACGATCAGAGAAATTAAGCAACGTCAAGTCTGGTCAGTAACTAGATGGGTGGCACACGGTGTTGTAAGCGTGGATGTACGGGTGGTGTAATAGAAAATGGTCCTGAGTTGTTAATCAGAGAGCTGAGTTCCAATTCCAGTTGGGTTCATTATACTGGGGAAGACTTTGGGAAAACACGGGCTCCCGTACTATCATCTAAGTTAAGCAACGTCGAGTTTGGTCAGTACTTAGATGGGTGACCTTTTTGTCAGGTTGGTTGTGTGCTTTTTGTAATGGATAATGGTTAATCGGAGAGCGAACCTCCAAGATCTTTGGTAAAATGATTTTTTTTTTCTATCGGAAGAGCTTTTATAGGCTTTGCGACAAGGTTTGTTATTCATACCCACAAAATCAGGCATACGACCGCATCACTTTGAAACACCGGATTCCGTAAGATCACCTAAGTTGAGCAACGTCGAGTCTGGTCAGAACCTAGATGGGTAACCGCTTGGGAATACCAGGTGCCATAAGCGTGAATATGCGGATAGTGTAATGGGCTTTACGGCCGCATCATCTTGAAACATCGCTTCCCGTTCGAGATTGCTAAGGGGCTATAAGGGATAGGTAGTTGTGGAGAGCCATCAGCAACAACGTCATGAAAAAAACACAACAACAAGAAGAAGAAACTTTGACATTTCGTGAATTAGGAATTTTCGTACAATATCGACTGGTTAGATTTTTATCTCTTAGATCTTATAGCTGGTTGACTGTCTGGGGATCACAGTTAAGTCGTTATGGATTGACATTACGTAACAGTTCATCACTCATTTCTTCGTTTCTAATGAAAATTTCCTGTTTCTTAATACTTTGCTTAGCTTTTCGAAAGCATCTTTCTCTACTCCAGTGTACGTTCGGATTTCGGCATCATATTTTCCGTCCTCTGTTAAAACACTTCTGAGATATTTAAATTTTTGTACTTGTTTATGATGATATCACCTTAGGCTTTTTCTTTTGCGGGCAACCAAACATTTGTTCTAATCATTACACTCCGAGCAAGGCAATCATGTCACTAAGACGCAACGGGGTTACCGAGTTTGAAAGAAAAAGAAAATCCTCATTAAGAAACGAGAAAAATAAAAGAAGAGAAATCAAGAAGACATTAAAGCTTATCATTGCATTTAAATCTTTGTAGATCAAAGTTGAGCTGGAAGCAAGAAGCCGGTTACATTTAGCCATTCCAATTGCAAATTGATGAGACCTAGCCGCCAATCTAGTACTGCGGTTAAATTCATAACGTCTAGGTACCATAGATGAAAGTTCATCCGAACAATAATCATGAAAGTATTTATAGAAAAGTCACAGGAAATATAGATTATGGCGCTGGAAAAGTGACTGAAGCCGGGATGCCAGGTCAGGTCTAATATCATTACTGATTCTTTGTATTTTATCAAGAATTTCTAAATGGATAGCAGGAGCATCAGACTATATGTGGCAGCAAGATTCGAAGTATGGGGGAATGAGTTGATGGTGAGTTCTTTCTTCACCACACTTTTCGTCACCATTCCCAAAGATCCCTTTGTTTAATTTTCTTTAACTGCAAATATCTAATTTTAGAACTATTGACATCTTTTTCCATCGATGGCAGCTTAGGATCTGTGTGAAAATTCTGATGTATGAGTTTTTAAACTTACTTTAAATGAAATCACGCATCTTCAACGAATCCTTTATTTTATTCTTCAAATAAAAACGTGCTTTTCAAAATAACTTGTGGCGATTCCATCACCTTGTCTACCGCTAGATATCGTTGTATTAAGGCGTATTTACAACATCAAATACGTTTAAAATTGGAACCATTTTTATACCTAATTATGTCGGGTGCATTATAAAATTACTCTAAAATTTATCAATTACTTTTTTTTTTACTTGAATTGTATTTACACCTGTTTATTTGTTTATCTGTTGTTCATATGGAAAATGGTAAAATGACATCGAATGAAGGTAGTCGATAAAAAATAATTCAAGCACGAAGCCGTTTAAAATTTTGGCGAATAAATAAATAAATTATAAAAGATAACTCGATAAGTAATAATACCAGATAAAAATGAAAACATCCCGACATTAAAATTGATTGGACATTAAAATCGCACAACTTCAAAGAAATACTTATTTTATCAAAACCAACATTTAAATGTCAGTGTACGTAATATAGAGGCACGGCGGAGTAATGGATAGCGGCTCGGATTGAGGAATTGGAGAGCCGACTTCGAATTCCAGTCAAATCCATTACATATCCTTACGTGCTAATATCCTTGGGAAAGGTATGTATCCTCTTCTTCTCCCCACCCCCAACTATTCTATAGATGGATGGCAACTGGTCTACCGCAGAAAGAAATGGCAACCTATTGCGGGAAAAATCTGCCTTGTCAGTCATGTATCGAAAGATACATGATCGACTAAGCGTGTATCACGCATGCCACGCATGCTCTTCTCCTCTCCCCAGCTTTGGGTAACTAGAAGAACAGACCGGGTTCTATAGCCTTGGATGGAAACTGGTCTACCGGAAAAAGAAACGGCAACCTACTGCGGGAAAAAAAATCTGCCTCGTCAGTCATGTATCGAAAAATACGTAAGCGTGTATCACGCATGGCAGATAACTGACCGTATGTAATATAGTAACACCTCTCAAGTAGATGCTTTATTTTACTAATTCAGCTTTAGAGCCGAAACGTTTATTTTATTTTGATGGATGGTTACAAGCGAGAGGGGAGATGGGATATGCTTATTTTATTACCACAGTGTGCTTTGCAAAATGTGTTGTGCCTATTACACGACCTTGTTTACCAAGGATGTCCGTTAGGTGTCGTTGTATTTAGGAAGATAAAAGGAAATTTCTTTTTCCCTTTTTTTGCTCCGGAATAATTTCGTGTCATACCTCCCAGTTTCTGTTAAAACACTTTCCTGGTATTTAAAATGCTGACTGAAGCGCTAATATCGACATAGAAAAAATATATTTAATAACAAGAATCATATCACTGTATTCAATCCCGATTTTAATGTTTCAGAATTCACAATCAGGAGGTTTACAATGCAATTATGTTTCACTGTTGCTTTACGCTTAACTTATATTCAGAGAGTGTCAGCAATTTTATACTGTCGATTTTTATCACATGTTCAAATTGTGTCCACTTTATTGCCTATTTTAGTGATCACAGAACGATAGGATAGTCCATTGATACGATAATACAAAGTTCAAGACAACCGTAACAGATGATACGATGCCCAGTGCACGCAAGTGTTTTATTTTCTATTTACAGTAAGGTTCATCCGTTAACAAGGCCCGGAGGCTGTCGAGGTAGAGGGTTACGTTAAAATGCAAATTTTGCGGATATGTCTGGAAGGAAACAATTAACCCTAGACTTGAACTGGCTAAAATTATAGTGATCAGGGAAGCATCCTCTTGGGATTCTGTTTTACAGAGTAGTAGTTCGCGAGAGGAAGTTACTTCTCACCGATGTAATACGAACGGAATGTGGATGGTTTTTACAATGTAAGTGGCATGACGTATCCTTGCAGTGAAGGGTTGAATTGGCGGGACCGTGATATATAGTTCGTCAGAGCACTTTCTGTGGGAGAGAGGTTGGAAGGGGAGAATAATTCGTCATCCATAAGGGTACGGAAACACCTTTGAACTCTTTCAAGGCTGGAGAGTGAGGTCTGGGCAGCTTCCGCCCAAACATGACAACAGTGCTCCATTTTCTGCCTGATCTGGCTCTTATAAAGGTAGAGGATAGCATGAGGAGTCAGGTACTTACTGCAGCGGTACAAGGAGCCGAACACTTTAACTGTATCCTTAGTAATGGTCGTTCATATTAGGTATACAGATGGCTTCCACAAGAAATGTGGGTTTCTCTTTATTAATAATAATTTTGTAAAGTTATTATTTTAAATTATACGATTTTTCTACGATTTTAAAATGTACGATCAACATTCACTCTTTCTTTCTTTCTTTCTTTCTTTCTTGCGCATGCGCATACGTACATATTTATGGCTCTATTAAAAAGCTTACAAGTACTCTTATTAACAACAAATTTATTGCCTACCCGAGGTCGGCCAATGTTGGTAAAAGTATTTGGAGAAATAAGATCGTGAAACACTTCAATAATCTTAAACCATCAATAAAAAACACATTTGTAAGATAATAAGCATTTTTAAATCTCTCAAGGAAATATATCAACATTTTCGAATCAAGTAAACACTCACATGTAGATGCACATTGCTTTACATGCACCCACATACACCCAAAGACACACACACACACACACACACACACACACACACACACATATATATATATATATATATATATATGCGAATTGAGTCACTGTCGGTCACTGGGCGTGTTTCTAAAAATAAATACGCTAAAAATCCGCTTTCATACCTACCGCGCGCCGACGGCTTAATGGTTAGAATCTCCGACTGACACCAATTCAGTCGGGTTTTGATCCTAGCTAGAGGCAACCGGATGTCTAGCCACACTGATGAGCTGCGAAACAGTCTGTCTGTAGATGACGTTATATATATATATATATATATATATATATATATATATATAGTATTTATTATATATATTTTAATTTCAATTAAAGGTGCAAATTATAATTTATAAATTCATGAATCATTCATACAAAAAATTAAAATAACTGATCCAACGTGCAACTTTCGGATAATAAGTGTGACATTCCTGTAATTATTGGACAATATAGTTCATGCCACATTGACGGAAAATCTACCAGTACAAAAGAATTCAAACTCAGCGTTGCGACCGCATGTTCCAAAACAATAACACATTTCTCATAGCATTTTTCGGATTTCATCTCTATTTTCGTTGTCCTCTTATTACCGAGAAGTAAAAAACAAGAATAAAATCTATTTCCATACCTGATGATGTCTGTAGGAACAGACGAAAGCTTGTAAAAATTAAAAAGACCTTATGCAACTGGAATTTGTAAACAGAGATCATAACATTCATATACAGGTTCGGGGTTAGTGTACCTTATTGAAATTGTTTCCGAAGATGTATTCTCGCCAGTTAAATCATTAACCTCTATATTTGTTTTTTGTATGAATGATTCATGAATATATATATATATATATATATATATATATATATATATATATATATATATATATATATATAATAGTTTCAATGTCAAAACATTTAAAGGAATACTTATGTCCACATTCACAGTTTAGACAGATATTAGTTGAAAATATATCAGTGCTCCATCAAGATAAAAATAAGCAAAAACTTAAAATTTTGGACGAGAATTGCGACCAAAAAGTTCAACGACGAGTATAGTAACAAAGTTCTTAATTGAAGCAGCAAAGTCTTATATAAAAAAATACTAAATTAAAATACTCTAATTGAAAAATCTTTTTAAAAAATCATATAAGTTACCTCCCTTGCATAACAGTAAAAAATATTTTGAATTTACGATGTTAACGCATAACACATCCATAGATATGC